TAATTTCAAAAGCAATTACTTTTACTGTAGCTACTGTGCATGATTTGACAAGAAGAATGCATTATTTTGGTTTTAATATTGCACCAAACGGGAGCCAAATCATGGTTGTCAAAGAGGGCTTTAGTATTTATTTCTTTAGTAGCTTTGCTGTGTTTTGAGATTTATTTATTTATTTAAATAATAGCAAGGTAATAATAATAATTTCAATTAAAAATATAAACCTTTCAATTTCCGTTATAAGGATCGAAAGTAGAGTTACGCAGGGATAGCAACATTCACACTAATTAAAAAGGTTGGATTCATGGATTCCCTATGTCAGTTTATGGACTAATGAAAGATTTTTATCTTCGAAACTCGTTAGAAGGAACAGCGTAAGAGAAATCATAGAGAAATGATCGAATCTTCGAATACCTCAAAAATATCATGAGATGCTTAAAAATGGTCAAAGTAGTTCAACCAAACTTTCCCTAGTAAGGAAGAGGGATCATTTCCTATTTTCACTTAGAAGGAGATCTGTACACAATACATATGTAACCAAATACAGCATGGTCAACCATTCATATAATACAATGTAACATCGAATACCATATAACAACAACATACCTTAATCCATGTTATTACATGCCTCCACCCTAATAATATCGAGCTAGTACTGTTTACCCTAATGCAATATCATGGACCAAACATGCTTTATTTTATGGTGTGGGTTTGCATAAACATTAACAATTAAGTGAAAGTGATTGAATGTGGCTCTCAAAGTTCACCTTCTTCCTGTGTTGTGAGTACTTGTGATCATCAGAACATGTTACTTATAAAAGGTTTGCCTGTTCTTGAAGTTGGTCCTGTTTCAAAGAAGTTAAATGAATATATACAAATAAATAATGAAAATTGTTATTCAATTATTTTAGTAAGTAAAAGATGAATTTGTTGAGTGGCACTCTGAATTTGAGAAAGAGAAGACATGGGATCAAGTTATTGATAAGAGTATAGACATGATTTGGAAAAATGGGCTAAAAACTTGTAACGAGAATCAAGGTAACTACCCAGCATAGACATATACACACACGCACACCATTTTTAGTAAACGAAAATCTCACAAATTATGTAGTCTCGACCACTTGGGACGGCCTTAAGAGGGCATTCCTCTCAAAGTATGGTGCAAGTCACCAACTTAGGCCATGGGCTTTCTTGATCGCTCATTGACCCGTTCCATGGGCTTTCTTTGGTAGATTGCAGTTCTACATATCACTACAGCTAGTCAAAATGTTAAAGCAAATACTATTCCAACCTTACATTCCAGAGATTTGCTTCATATGGACGTGGCATATTCTTTCTGAATGCAATATGACATTGCCAGTATCTCCCATTGATTAACATCTTACAGTCTTAGTGCTAGAAAAGACAAACAAGAATTACTTTATGCTTACGGATACATCGACTAAGTAATTAACAAACATCCATTTACCGCGAACGTTTTACGTGCATGCAATCCTCTTGATAAATCATGAGAAACTGGTTTAAACATTTAGTCTCTACGATTTGCATTCTAGCTTCGTTTATCTTTTAATGTTTTTAACTAGAAGAATACACAAAAGGAAACAAAAAAGAACTAAAAATGGATAAAATTTACCTCTGTCACAAAGAAAGCATGGAATCCGTATGGAACTCTTTTGGGCAGTTCGACAATGGCAACAGGATCAGGTGACATCGTTTTTGCATCAATTACATTCACTGTTGACTTTCTGTATAAGTAGTCAAATATGAGTAAGGGTAAGGATAGTGCATCTGAATTTGCAGTACAAGTCAAAATTAAGATACACCAAGCCATCTACAGAATAACGACCCCAAGCAGTTTATTAAAGGGAGACAGAGACAAGTACCCTGTGTTCTCATCATGTACAAAGAAAATCAAGTAGCCATCGTCTTCTTCGGATGTGGTACCAGGATGCCGGGGAACAAAGACAGCCTCTGAACCAAATCGTCCAGGTCCCAGATCAAAGATACCTTCGACATTTCCTCCAACTTCAAGATTTTCTTTTCCAGTCTCTGGTTCCGCGTGCAAATCAAACTTGATAATCCCAGTTACCTTAGCAATCTTGTCTAGTGTTGTTCCATATACGTATCGTTGTTTCCTAAATACGTAAAGCAATTGTGATTTGCAGATATCATTATAATTTAAAAATTTTGTCGAGCACAAGAAAATATAGGAAATAGAGATGGAATGTAGATGAAAAGTAAAAAAGATAACATTTGTCATTAACAGCTGCAACTGAATTTATAGGGCCATTGAACCGAAATTGCTGAATATCATTGATTTTCATGTCTAGCTTATCTTCACTGAGATAATTCAGATACAAATTCCAAATCATTAACAGAGTTTATAAGACGTTTACCTAGTAGTATAATTTTCGTTCACCCTTGGAAAATCTACGGCGGATACAGATAATTTTTTCTGTGAAGCCAGACCATTTTTGAGGTTGAACCTCATCTCATACCTGACAAAGATAACTAGAATGAGAATTCATCTTTCATGAATTGAAATATGATAAAGATATCTATCAGTTTTGAGCTCTCCTACAGTTCAACTTTGAAATTCACAAGCTTTTCTTTAATAGCGCCATTAACCATGTCAAGATCTGGATTCTCAACGCGACAAGTGATTAGAACAACTTCATCGCCTTCCTCCCAAGCATTTGCTGATAAAAATAATCGAAATAAAAATACATGAAATGTGAGGACCCGTAACATAACAGCTACAACACAAGATTCTCATTATAAACTTGAAAATACAAGGAATGAAAAGAGGAGAAATCATGTGCTCTCACACACACACACACACACTCTCTCTCTCTCACACACACACTCTCTCTCTCTCTCACACACACATTATTGTAAATACAAGGTAATAAGAATCATGTAAACGATAATCAGAGGATGAATATGCATGTAACCGCTTGTCTTCAGATATACTCTTTTAACACCTTTGTGCAATTGAATTGGTTCTTTTAATTTAATTTGCTTATGGACACTGTGAAAGATGATTTATAAAATAAATTTTAATATCTTGCAACTATCATTCTTTACATTTGAATTGAAAACTTTAGTTTTATCTAAATTTAACAGGAGTTGCAACCAGTGAACACACTATAGATTATCATCCATTTCAATGTTCAGAGCTGATCTGAGAGAGAGAGAGAGAGAGAGAGAGAGAGGCATAGACTATTAGGTCTTGTGGGACAGTGTAAAATCATTAATATTTGAAAAAAAAATCCCTCTTGATGATGCGCAAAGTTCATAGTAAACAGAGATGGAGATCGCCCCCAAAACATTGTCCACTGATCCACTATTCCTAGTTAACTTGTAATGTATTTTTCAGTTTCCTCCCCTCCCCCCCACCCCACCCCACCCCACCCAACCCAAATTTTTTTTCCATTAATAAATATTGACCTAATAACTTACACTTTAAACTTCAACCATACAAAAATCTTAGACCTAAACAAAAGATCAAATAGTTACTTAAATAAATAAATAGCCCAGATCCAATAGATGTGTGCGAACTGTTGGTATTGATAAGAAAATCAATGAGTTATAATCTTGTTGATAGATTGATTCGTCTTGTCTTGACTTTTTCAGTTTCAACAGCAACTACAGAACATGTATTTTCATCTATGAGTCATTAAGACAAGGTTGCGTAATAGAATGGAAGATGATTTTTTGTCCAGTACCATGCTTGTGTATATAGAAAAAGAGATTGTTGATACTTTTCCATTAGATTCTCTTATTGACGAGTTTGAAGTGATGAGGACAAGGAGAGACCAATTTCAGATGTTCAAGCCATCTCTACCATCTGTTATATAGATAGACGTACAGTTTACTTTTTATCTTTTTTATGTCCATCTAACGTTCATATTTTCAATTTGTATAGCGTTAGACACATAGTTAGACATATTGTTTTTGTATCGACAAACTGATTGTCTTTTTTGTAAGTCAATCTAACTTACCTATTTTGGTACTCAAAATCGTCGTTTTCAATCCTTTTAGTTAAAAAAAAAAAATTTCAGGGGTGGACCCAAGAAGGGGGGGCCACTCCACCCCCCGTATTTTCGCCCTCCCAAGATTGAAATCCTGGCTACGTCCCTGATAGTAAAGTTCAAGATTCTATATTACTAGTGAATAAATTTGAAATAGAACGCGTATTCGTTCACCATCTAGGCTGCTACAATCTTGTTCAAAATTGAGTTCAAATATACTTCCTTTGTTTTTAGGTTATTTTCCATTTAAGATTTTTGAAAACTTCATGAGAAGATACAGTCATGAGCAAAGCTGGAGCTCTATGTGAAATTTTAGAAAAAACGACTGATATTAGACTCTTGAAAGAGAGTAAGTGAGCTTGTTATTATGTATTAACAAGTGAGCTCGTTCTAGTTCTTATGAAACTGATATGAGACCCTTGAAAGAGAATAAGTGCAGGGAGCATTTCATTTGGAAATTCTATAAGGCATATATGAAAGCAAAGTTCCTCACCATTATGGAATATGAAGCAATTTGGAAGCTCAAACCATTTGATTAGGAGTTCATTTTTTGCATACCGCGGAAGGATGCCAAAATGAGCTTTCTGGGTAGCATCAAAGCTGAAAATAAACTTTTTATCCTTCACCATTTCCTGAAAATATGAAGACGGAAAGCGAGGTATGATTATGATGAGTGATTTGATCCACAAGTATCCTAATAGGAAACCAAGTTATGAGATACCAAAAGATTCTAGGAAATAATGTTGATTTTCAGAAATTCCAAAATCAGTAAGGGATCTCTTACAGACCAAATAAAGTCACCTAGAAATTGACTTTATGTTTATGTGAAATAAATTACGTCATAAGAACTTTAAATATATTAGCAATAGTATTTTCTGTCAGCTATAGCAGTAGTGACAACAGTAAAATTCTATTTAAAAGAAACAGAGAGAACTCAGAAAGAGTTAAGACAACAAACACTGACTACAATCATGCCCAACGAGTTTTGAAAATGTTAAACATGTCAACTCCCAATCTGCTGTAGAATGTCTTGGTAAATTTTTGTGGTCAAATGGATAGTCTTATCGTTTCACCACTTTATTTTTATTTTTTTTGAAAAAGAAGATATAAAATGCTAGTATTTAGTGGGAACTTTTTCACCATTCAAGTTTCTTTCTCAAAAAGATCAAATAAATCATTAAAAGTAACAATGTGAAGAAGAAACTGATTGTTTGACTAAAGAAGTCAACTAAAAGGTACAATCGTGGATGAAGGGAGTATTTAATTGACTTAGATTGGAATTGAAAGAAAAATCGATCTGGAAGTTGCTCATGAAGGCATAAAACTATGATGAGATCATGAAATCAGTCACGCAGCACAATAATCAGCAATAAGCTCGTGCTTTTGCTTCTTCAATGCAGAAATTAGTAGGTTCTATTTTGTGGAAGTTTATGACTTGATTCGGATGAGAAACGAGCGAATGTCATTAGTTTCAGATATATCCCTTTTAGCATGGAGAGGTGAAATACTCAGATCACTTTCTTTCAAGTACTAGATGGGTGAAAAAGAAAAGAGAAGGGTCGAGGAGACCCTTTTTACAATCAGAAGATGTGCTGCCCGTTGAAGCAAAGATGAAGGTGCAAACTAATAACCAAGTATCATAAAGCATGCATAATATTGCTGGATTACCATACCTTTGGCTTAAAGTATAAAGGGAGGTCCATAAAAATTGCATAGTTTTCAGTAATCGCAAAATCATGCATCATGATTGGGCCTGATATTGTTATTGGAACTGGATCATTCATCGCTCCATCCTTCGATACAACTCTGTATGTTACATATGGTGGTGTATGTGAATAGCCAAAGGTAAACATTTCTCCTGCGTGCAAATTTTTTATAAGCATCTTCGAACCATAGTTGCATGTATTCATTCTGTTTTTCTCAAGATAGCAATCACAGATTATCTGACTGAAAATTGTCATAATTTGAACATAATCAATCAAAGCATATGTACTATTAAATTATCAGTTCATTTTAAATTTAACATAGCCAACTATGTAATCAAGAATGATGTGTTTTCGAGTTGAAGGCGAAGCTGTTGCCTAAATAAAAAGTGAGCTGACTATTGCAGCTAGGTAAGGAAAGGGATAAATTAATAACCTTTATTGAATAGGTCAAGGTGTGTTTAATATACATAAAATAAATTGAATGTCAAAATATCTGCTCTACTCACAGAAGCATATCTCTTACCGGTGAATGGGTCAACCTTAGGATGAGCAGTAAATGAATGTGCCAGTCTTTTATCATAGTCCAGCAAGCCGATAGTTTGCAGATCTCCATCTTCCAAAACTTTAATTGCATCTGTACAAGAGATGGAAAATATAAAGCAAAAAAGAAATAATGTATACTACTTTTGGGGTCTCTTTATCCTTATAATGCAAGTAATCTCTCGCAAGGCTATCCAAGAGAAGAATGTAAAGCTAATACATGAGGTAATTTCACTTTCCAGATTTATGACAGAATTAAAAGGCAAAAGGTGCAAAACCATGTTAAGAATTGGAGTTCTCTTTTAAAATGTCAACCTAATTAAGAGGAGTAACCCGATCCTTTGTAAGTTGGTTTATGTTTACATTTTTATTCGATGTGAGATCTTGAAATCTATATGCTCACTTTTGGAGTTTTAACCGGATCGAATTGCTCGTTAGAGTTTAATGGGCTCTGATACCATGTTAAGAATAGGGGTTCCATATTAAAATATCAACCTTATTAAGAGGAGTAACACAATCCTTTATATGTTGATTTATGTTTACAATGCTCACTTTTGGAGTTTTAACCGGATCGAATTACTCGTTAGAGTTTAATGAGCTCTGATACCATATTAAGAATTAGGGTTTCATCTTAAAATGTCAACCTTAACTCAATCCTTTATAAGTTGGTTTATGTTTACATCTTTATTCGATGTGAGATTCTATCACTTCACAAACCACACAAAAGTGATAGGATCGTGAAAATTCAAGTTCACAGAGGCACTTCTATAGAATAAAGATAAAAAACTTACATGGTTTATCTACCTCGCTAAGTGCCAAAAGCTTTCCATGGTGATATACTAGAGCTGTATTAGCTGCAACAGAAGTGTAACAATATATAATTAGCAACTCACAAACAGAAGTACGTTTCCTAGATTTATAAGATTAATTGTGATATCTATGATTTTAAAACTCGAATAAATAAAAGATGGAAAAACGGTGTCTCGGTGTGAAAGAAAACTTGATTGACCTACCTGTACCATCCATGCCGAAACTACACTACAGGTATGTCTCTGGCTGATCTTGTATTTACTAATAAATACATGCATTGTTTACCAAGCTTTTCAATTGATTCTAATTAAAAAGAGAGGGTGTAGGGAGTAAGATATGCAAAGCCAGATTCGTAGTGGGAAAGCATACATGACTGACCCACCTGTACCATTCCCGTAGGACATATCTAATACTTTCAGTTTTGCCCTGAGCATTTGCATGTTAACCATGAGCAATCCAAACATCCCTTTCAGGTCTCCAAACTGCAAATAACGTGCACAGGATAATGTAGCGAAGGGAAGAAATATGAAATGGATATAAGATCGTATTTATGAAGCAGATCATCCCATTTGCTAAAAGAAAAATAAAAAGAGAACTATCAAATGGTGGTTAGTTTTGAGACGTGTCCAATTCTCGCATTCTCTCAAATAAGAATAAGAAGTGAGAAGTAAAAAAGGAACTATCAAGTACCAAATGCTGGTTAATTTTGAGACATGTCCAACTCCGGTAAGTCAAATATAAACTTAAGGTTACTCCCAGGTACATTCGGACATTCCTATCAATTCTAACTGAGGGTGATTACTGATTCTGCCAATTTGAGCAAGTAAATCCACATAATTTAAGTTTCATTCAATGCATTGACTAGGCTTATTAATAGTTCATTGAACTGAATCTCTTCATTTCTTTCAGATTATCTGACTTTCTTCATTGGTGTTTGGGTTCACAAAACTTTGATCAGCATTCAATTGATGTGAAGTGTGTGGCTGTCAGTATAGCATTGACCTTGTAGCCTCTTCTTACCTTCATTTGGAATAGGAGAGTACGATCGACTTTGAGATGTTTATTTTTCTGTTCTGCCACTCTGTTTCATTGTGGAGTATCAATACATGACAAGTGATGTACAATGCTTTAATGGGACAACTGGACAAGGACCTTGCCAACTCCTTGTTAACATGGAAAATAGGAAAGAACTTGCCAACGTCAAGTATAGCAACCTCCCAGTTCTTGTACATCTGGTCCCTTTTAACGGTTCATTGATGTCCCCATTAAGAACTTCAATTTCCCTTTGCTTTTTAGGGATCTAGATAGACTTGGACGAATCCATAAAATTTATCTCATTCGATTTGGAATTAGCAAAGAGTATGATTTTCATGATTGAATAATTCTATTACGTTGGCTTCCATTTGATTACGAATTTTACAGGTTAGATGTATGGTTTGCAATGATACTATGATCATGCCCAATATGTTAGTGATCATGTGGACTGTTGTACACCTTATAGGCTTTATTATTTATAATGTGGTAATTTTAAATATGTGGGCAGAAATTAAGTAAACTCTAATTAGGGTTAGAGTTGGTAATGAGCCAATTTTATGATTTCCTATATAATGGTTGAGTCCCCTCTCCTCTCCATATGTTTTTGGCCTGCCCCATTGATGGCCGATTATTTTGAGAAGTAAGGAGGGGAAAATCTAGCTAATAATATTCATACACACACACACAAAATGTTTTATGCAGGTATGAATTTCGAACTATCAATTGATATATATGATTCTTGTTCTTAGCATGATTGTATTAAATAATATCAACAATTGGTAGTAGAGCCTACGTGCTAAGATTTGAATCCTTTAAATAAAAAAATAATAATTTATTTTTGGGTACTGTCTGCTCTCTCTCGTCCCTCTCGTGTATTCTTTATCATAGAGCATAAAACCCAAGACATAAACTGCAGCTTCACCGTCTGGAGCAAGTATGTTTGTATAATTGTTTTTTCACCAAAATCAAGTAATTCATGTATGTGTATACATTATCAAAGCAAAACCCATACCCCTCTCTCTCTCTCTCTCTCTCTCTCTCGTATACCGTATGTCTGTATGTGTGTATTTTTCTCCGGTTGTGTGCATATTTTCTCTCCGGCAGCCCGTGTGTATGTATAGATTTTAATTTGGGTTTGCCTTGGTTTGTATATGAATTACTTATGTATGGATTTGCCTTGATTTGGGTTATATGTGCGCGTGTATAGATTGCTGTGAGTATAAAAATTGTTGCTGTGGTAGTTCTTTTAGATTCAAAGCTGAAAAAATATGAAATTTCGCAATCACATACAATGACATATTAAAATTTCAACCATGATAGTGAATAAATAAATAATAAAGTTATATATACAGATAGAGAATATGTAGGTGTGTGTGAATATAAAAAGTGATGATTTTTTTTTTTCCTTTTCTTTACTGCTTTTGAGACGTGGGCTGAAGGCGAATTCGGGGGTTGGTTGGAGGCGGGGCTTTACGTGCAATTATGAAATTGTGAGCCCTTCCTAACAATTAACATTTAAGGGGCCAGTTTGCAATTTTAAAAGGAAGGACCTACACTGTAATTTTTTAATTGTAGGGTTCCTCTTAATAATTTTAAATCTATGGTCAAAAATGCAATTTTCAAAAAGATGTATTAAATTTGAATTTTAAAAGGTGTTTTAAAGTTATATTTTAAATGGATTTGATTCACTATGTTTCAATTTTGACCTAAAATTAAAATTGTATTTAAAATTGACGACTTTATATTTTTTTTTTGTTTGAAATAATTAAATGTCGTTATTGGTTGTCCATTTAAATTTCATTTCATGTATTGAAATTCAAGGTGCCAATTTCGTCTTATAATCGCGCATGATTTTCATTTTTCGTTAGTTAATGATTATGATGATGTTGCATGATTATTATAATTAAATTATTTATAGACTTCAAGTCTATTTAAGTGCTCCCATTATGAGAAATATTTTGAAATAAAAGTAGGTGGTAGCTGTCAAAGTGGCACACTCATTTTTATTATATGTGATATTTTTGGAAATTGACATAAAACAGTTAACGATTTTAATTGGTCTAGAAATCTCATTCTGCCCAAAGATGTTGGTGTTTCGAAAATCAATATATTTTGTTACCTAACTTCATTATGTGCTTTAAGAGTACCTTTCAACATGTATATCGTTAGCCCAAATGTGACTTTATAATGATGTATCTAGGCTTTTACCGTAATAATGTTCATTTGATTTTGACTTTAGTTACGAATTATCTAATTATTTAGACCATGTTAATTAGATGAATATGTTATCATCCATTATCGGCATGCACTATGTTTGGATGATATTAAACATGTTATTTTATGTTTCCACAGTTTTAAATGCCTCATCTCTTTCGAGTCAATTGTGTGCTATTGAAACCTTGACTGAGAATAACTATGTGAGATGGAAACGAAACATAGAAATAGCACATGGTCTTTTGGGGTTGGATTTTGCAATGGAGAAGCCGCTTTCAAAACCCACAGATAAAAGCGATCTTGAATATGTAGTTGAGTATGAAAAGTGGGAAATAGTCAATAGACTTTGTTTGAAAATTATTAAGCGCTCCATATCCGATTCCATTATGGGTACTATTCCGAATAATGAAATGCTAAAAGTTTTGTGGATGCCATATGATTGAGATTTGTTGAGTATGATAAAGCTAAAACTGGGGATATGATGGATAAAATGATGAATATGAGATATGATGGTATAAGTGGAGTTAGGGAGCACGTTATGAAAATTATTAATATATCTTCTAAATTAAAGACTCTTAAGATTCTCATTGCCGAGCCATTTCTGGTTTGTCATGTTCTGAATAGGCTTTCGAGCCAGTTTAATCAGCTGAAGGTTGCTTATAATGCTCAAAGAGATAAAATGAGATTTAAATGACCTTATTGCTGTATATGTCCAAGAGGAATATAGGTTGAGGCGTGAAAATGTGTAATTAGCTATGCAGCTACCACAGAACAATGGATCTTTTCATAACCATAAGTTTAAGTTTCACAAAGACGACAAGTTACACCACAATCAGCAAAACAAAATTTTGGAGGTCAGACTTCTTATGATCCCAAATGAGCGATAAAGAAAAATGATCAAT